TCCGCTTCCGGGCCGGCCGCGGCGGCCGTCCTGGCGGCCGACTTGCGGCCGGCGTACAGGGCGGCCCGGCCGTAGGCGAACTTGCCGACGGCCAGCGCGGCGAAACCGACCAGCGCCCAGCAGAACAGGTACATGATCAGCGTGTCCATCGTCTTGCTACCATCGCTTTCGAAACTGCATATGAGATCGTCGATGGTGTCGGCCAGGTCACCCATGTCGGGCCATGGCGTGCGGTACTCGGTGTTGTAGGTGTTGCCGGTTACGATTCGCGTTCGGTTGACGGCCGGTCAAAAAATCAATCTGAATACTGTCGTCGTCGTCGTCGTCGGTTTTTACTGCAGGCACGGTGTGGATCGTTTCGCGTTCGACGGATCGTTTCGCGGCCGGCGGATCGCGCGTCGCCACTACCGCTCTGCCGGCGTCGCGCTCCGGCGCGTTAAAAATAGAAACGCAGACCCGCTGCCGCCGCCGCCGCCGCCGCGTCCGTCCGGTCGTGTTGGCTGCACCGGCACCGACGACGCGTCTGCAGACGGCGGCGGGCGGCGGGCGGCGGGCGGCGGCGGTATAGGGTTACAGATTATTTTTTCCCGTCCCTCCCCCGAGTATCCGGCCACCGGCCAGAAATGATGCCAACGCCGAGCGACGCGACCGATATTATTATTATTATTATTATTATTATAACAGTACTCGTCGTGATGCGCATCGGCGTCGCGCTCGTGTTGTGATTATAAAAATAAAAAGCAGCCCGCGCTGCGCGCGCACCGCGTAGGTACCGGCTCGACTCCGACCGGTAGGTACTTAAGTACGCGTGTACCGCGGTTAAAAATAAAGCCGGTCTGTCGCGTCCAAAAGTCGAGCTCGGTCCGACTCTGGACGTTTCCCGGTCGATCGCGAGGGTTCGTCAAACGTACAAGGTCGAAATCGGGATGACGTCACGACGAGTGACAGACCGTCCGAAGCGCGGTGTCACGACCGCGGGGATCGAGATTTCCAAAAAATAAAAATAAAAACACGGTGTTTTTTAGGAAAAATTCGGAGAGTCCGGTGTCGTTTGAAATTTCTAGGGGGGGGGGGTGGAACGGTTTCGACGATAGACTTTGAAAACGTCATGAAAAATTGCAGGGTTTCGGGGAAAAAAATTTGTTTTCCCGAAGTAACGAACAGTGGAAACCGTCCAATAAATAAGGACAAATGATAATTATTATAGTAAGTACTAAGAAGTACTAAAAAATGTGACGTCGCTCATAAATATTTGATAGGTAACGTGATTTTCAGAACACATGTTGAAATGTCCGTCTTAAATAGTTGATATTATACAATGATTTGATGAAATTCAAAATTCAATTTAAAATGAAAATGACAGGTTTCTATTTCTATTTTTTTTTAGCTGGTTTACTTTAATGCTTCGATTAATTTAAGCTTAAATACTATTTTTTGCAATCGGTAATATTCTCCAATTTTTAATGAAGATCTGGTGAGAAAAAAAATGGTTTTTCCCAACATTTTCTATTGCGTCTTTTTGTCTAAAATATTTACGTTTTGTCATCTATAACATTTTTAAAAGTTAAAATATAAATAAAAGTTACTATTAATATTCGAATATCAATGGTTATGTACTAACTTAATTTAAAGAGTTAAAATAATTAATCATCTTCCATAGCTTTGCTATTTTCTATTGTATCAAAAAAAAAACAATTAATTGATAAAAGATAATGCCTATGTACAGTGTACATAATGTAAGACAGTGGTAAGTCATAAAATATTATATTTGCAAAACAATAACGATTTTCTATAAACGAGTTTTATTTTCATTTATACTTTGTGTCATTTCATATCATTTTCAGAGACGCAAACTATCCATTTAATTCCAAAATAAACCATTATTGTAGTACACTATAACTAGGTACTATAAATTTAAAATCGATTTTATAATAAACTTGGATATGGACGTTTCTAATGCCTTTTTCGTGATCAAAGTTTATTTTTTTGTGTATATTATTGATACTCATCGAACTTTCAAATAAGAAAAAGAAAAAATATAAGGGTACTTTGAAACCAAGTGGTGGGAAATTTTCTATAAAATTAATGGAAACCATAAAAGTGTCAAAATATTTGATTGGCTGTTATTTAGAAAAAAAATGCATATTATTATTTGATTTTTCACACAATAATAAAATCACAATACTCTCAAAAACATAAACAAACCTGTAATTTTTACTCTTGAACTCGGGTATGAGACACGGTAATGCACCTACAGTTACACCTCTCAGTCCGACTTATATGGGACCAGTGGTTGTCGGATGGAGATCGTTTGAACCAAAATAAGCTCTTGTGTCATATAATCCCAATTTTGGTATGCATACTTAGCAGGTAGATTTTTGACATTTTTAAACGCTCAAAGGCTGTTTGACATGATGCCTATACACAACGCACATTGTGGGTTTCTAAAAAATTTCGGGTATATTGTATTGATCAAGTGAAACTCTCAAATGGCACTTTTCGAGTGTGAGAAAGAGGAAGAGAAGAAGAGAAAACAAGTGTCTGATTACTGAGGTTATCCGACTTACATGTGTCAGACTAGTGTTCTTACTATGTTTGTAGCGATACTAACATTTTCAAATAAACTGCGAAACTGTGGATTTTGGATCCTGGTTAAAAAAAATATATTTTTAACTATAATATTCTCAAGCTTACTATTCAACCTAAGCTGCAATCTGTTTATATTTCAACCATAAGTACCACGTGTACCTATGTCAATATTTTATAATTAACTGGTAGGCACCCAATATCATTATTATTGATAACAAGAAGTAAATATTAGACTCGTCTTTTTCGTTTCATCTTCCATCTTAACTTAATGTTTTTATATCAACATCTTGACTCTTAATAGTTAAGTTTACATACGTGATAAATGTTCGTTTTCAAAATGTAATTAGTTTATTATTTTGATCGTTATTTAACGATTAAATTATTTCCAAAGGAAATTACGACTTAATCTGTTTTTCACTTATAAGCCAATCGTGCTTTTATATTTTGACCAACGATTTGAACAGCTAACAATTATGATATAACATTAAAATACGCAATTAGATAACACGACGACTGATAAAATATAGTAAGTAGTCGATTACCGAGAGTTTTTCGATATTCCCGGACATTCTCGAATATTCCCGGAAATCGCTCATCCCTAAATTAGATCTCAATGATATTAATGGACGTCGTCGGTCGCCCGCACACTCGGCAGGCACGACAAACGACGACAACATATCCAATCGTTTTGTGAGCAATTTTGTTCGGTGTCGGATGATTATCGCGAGCCGAGAATAATGACAAACCACTGGAGGGTGACAAGTAACGCTAAAAAAAAGTTTCGCACAGTCTTGCAACGTCCGTGATAGTTGCATGCGGTTTTCTCATTACTCTCGGCGGCAGAACTTTTTCGTTTTAAAAAGACGTGGACACGAAAAACAAATCACCGCGGGACGTGACACACGACCGTGAAAACTGCAGCAAGAATAATAAAGGGCAAGTGCCGTACATAAAAAAAGAAATTACTACGAACAGACTCGCCGGCTCTGCCGACCATATCGTACACCGAGGTATATGATATAACTATATAAGTGCGTAAGTACGGAAAATGGTAAACTCTTACAAAAGTAGATAATCTCCCTTGTACATAGACATTGTGTTGACACGAAATGAAGTGTTGAAATTCCTATGCAAGCTTGTATCAAAAAGAAAGCCAAAAGTTTGAAGATAAAAACAATTTCTTACTAGAATACTAGACAGAATTTTTATCATCATTAATATTTTATAAAAATATCGGTTTTGTAATAATTATGATGTTATCAGGGCCGAGATGTCTGCAAGACCATTGTGCATTACTTTTCAAATGTTCTAGAACAATGCATTACTCCGAAATATTTTAATATTTTTTACTTTCATATTGTAACATATTATACGTACCATCATAGATGAAACTTTTATCTTACATTTTAGATTCTGAACAGAACGACGAATTATTGATTTGAATATATCTTGAGTTTTTTTTCTGTCATAAACCATGATATTTTCTAGTAGATTATGACCTGATATTCAACTTAAGCATCTTTTCTAATTTGAAAATGTATCTTATTGATGCTCGAAGAGGTCGAAAATGAAAATTCTCAGTGATTTTTTAGGAAAAAACAAAAAAAAAATATGGAAAAACACCTAAAAACACGGAATTATACTCAAAATCAATTTTGACCAAGTCAAATTAGTTTTTTTGTAACTAAACCTCATAACATTATATACTTTATATTTTTATCGAATGTTTGTATAAGACTTTTCTATACGCCTTACATTCTTAAAAATATTTTGATTCCTTTTCTGTTTTTTTTCTTCTAAAAAATCTTATACTATAAAACGTGAACCCGAGGGCGCCCTCCCGTGTACTAATTTCGCATCTACTTAAGAGACAACCAATGAAAACGCTCCGTTTCCCCGCCGTCAGCGATCGCCGTTTCTTATCACCGTCACTGCTATCACTACTACTGTGTTTGAGATTTTTTTTGAGATTCTTCGAGTTTTTCCCCCCTCGAGGGCCTCGGGCCTCGCCCCGTTCGTGCTCCCGTCGCGTTTCACACGAGTTTTCCCTGTCGGTAAAGTCGGG